AATAGTTTATTGTCAAATTGGTTTCCACATAACACCCAGTGCTCATCCCCACAAGTGCCCTCCTCCATGCCCATCCCCCCCCCCCCCTCCCTCTTCTTTTTTCTTTTTTTTTTTCATCATTCAAGTGTCTCTCATGGTTTGCCTCTCTCCCTTTCCCCCACCATTTCCGCCCTTCTTCTCCCCCTTGTTCCTCCGTCAAGTTCCTCCTAATCCTCCTATATGTGCAAACATATGATATTTGTCCTTCTCTGCCTGACTTATTTCGCTCAGCATTATTCCCTCAAGGTCCATCCATGTTGCTACACATGGCCAGATTTCATTGTTTCTCATTGCCATGTAGTATTCCATGGTATAGATAAACCACATCTTCTTGATCCATTCATCTGTTGATGGACACTTAGGCTCTTTCCATGTTTCAGCTATTGTGGAGAGTGCTGCTATGAACATTGGGGTACATGTGCTCCTATGCATCAGCATTTCTGTATCCCTTGGGTAAATTCCTAGCAGTGCTATTGCTGGGTCATAAGGGAGTTCTATTGTTAGTTTCCTGAGGAACCTCCACACTGTTTTCCAGAGGGGCTGTACCAGTTTACATTCCCACCAACAGTGTAGGAGGGTGCCCATTTACGCAATTTTTCAATCAGCGTATATGTGTATAGTGGTTTCCCAATTATTACACCATACCTCTGTGGGAATCAACCTTATCAACTACAGTGTTTATGTAGAGCTCCTCTTGCCTTTAGTCTTACAGATTCCACTCATTTCCAAAGTTACTTAGGTCAGCCTTTTTTTCCCCCATCCTTTTCCATGAAGTTGTTCCATACATTTGTAATACAGTCATTTTTTTTAAAATTCTACATTCCATCTTGGGATTCCACAATCTCATAAATTATTCCTTTTTAATTTTATGTATTAAGGTTCACTCTTGTGCTACAAAATTCTGTGAGATTTGACAAATTAAGAGTGTCATGGCTATACCATTGCAGTATCATACAAGACAAAAGTTCTTCTGTGCTTCACTTATTTAACCTTGCAAAAGTCTTTTGCCTATAAACTTGGGAATCAACTTGTTGATAACCTACAAAAGAGCTTATTAAAGTTTCAGTTGAGATTGTATTGAATCTATAAGACAAAATGGGAAGAACTGACATCTTAATAATACCAAACATTCTAATCATGAATATGCAATATCTATTCACATACTTACACTTTTGATTTCTTTAATCAATATCAATATTTTATAATTTTCCACACATAGATTCTCTTCACATTTTATTAGTTTGATGCCTAAGTATATTTAATATTTTGGTACTACTATAAATGATACTTTTTAAGATTTCAGGGAAAATATATTTGAAAATGACATATCTGATAAAAAAAAAAACTAGTATCCAAAACCTATAAAGAACTTACCAAGCTCAACACCTGAAAAAAAATATAATCCAGTGAAGAAATGGGCAGAAGACATGAAGAGATACTTTTCCAAAGAAGACATCCAGATGGCAAATAGACACGTCAAAAAATACTCATCGTCAAGGAAATACAAATCAAACCCACATTGAGATACCACCTCACTCCAGTCAGAGTGGCAAAAATGAACAGATCAGGAAACTAAAGATGCTGGCGAGGATGTGGAGAAACAGGAACCCTCTGGTACTATTGGTGGGAATGCAAACTAGTGTGGCTGCTCTGGAAAACAGTGTGGAGGTTCCTCAAAAAATTAAAAATAGAACTATCCTATGACCCAGAAATAGCACTACTAGGAATTTACCCAAGGCATACAGGAGTGCTGATGCGTATGGGCACATGTACCCCAATATTTATAGCAGCACTTTCTACAGTAGCCAAATGATGGAAAGAGCCTAAATGTCCATCAACTGAAGAATGGATAAAGAAGATGTGGTGGATCTATGGTGGAATACTACATGGCAATGAGAAACAATGAAATCTGGCCATGTGTAGCAACATGGATGGACCTTGAGGGTGTTATGCTGAGCGAAATAAGTCAGGCAGAGAAGGACAAATATCATATGTTTGCATGTATAGGAGGATTAGGAGGAACTTAACAGAGGACCGTGGGGGAGAAGAAGGGGGGAAATGGTGGGGGAAAGGGAGAGAGGCAAACCATGAGAGACTCTTGAATGCTGAGAAACAAACTGAGGACTGATGGATGTGGGGGGGAGGGGGGAGATGGGCATGGAGGAGGGCACTTGGTGATGAGCACTGGGTGTTATATGGAAACCAATTTGACAATAAACTATTTGTAAAAAAAAAAATAAAGAAGATGTGGTTTATATATAAAATTAGATACTACTTGGAAATGAGAAAAAATGAAATCATGCCATTTGCAGCAATGTGGATACAACTAGAAGGTATTATGTTGAGTGAAATAAGCCAGTCAGAGAAAGACAATTACCATGTTTTCATTCATATGTGGATTTTGAGGAACTTAACAGAAGACCATGAGGGAAGGGAAGGGGAAAAGATAGTTATAAACAGAGAAGGAGGGAAGAAATTCTTCAATACAGAACAAACTGAGGGTGGATGGGCAGGTGGGGGAGAGGGGAAAATGGGTGATGGGCACTGAAGAGGGTTGGAATGAGCACTGGGTATTGTATGTAAGCCAGTCTGACAATAAATAATATTAAAAAAACAAAAAAAATAAAAATATAAATAAAAAAGTGACTTTTTAAGTAGTAATCTTGTGTACTACAACTTTGCTATATTGGCTTGTTTATTCCAGGAGGCTTTCAGATTTTCCACATGACAATTGTGCCCTCTGAGAATAAAGACAGCTTTATTTCTTCACTTCTAATCTGTATAACTTAAATTTCTTTCTCTCATCTTATTGCACTAGTTAGAGCTTCCAGCACACTGTTGAATAAATGTGGGGAGATAACACATGCTTATCTTATTCTCCACCTCAGAACTAAAGGGCCCAGGGGCACCTGAGGGCCCAGTTGGTTAAGTGTTCAATTTCAGCTCAGATCATGATCTCAGGCTTCATGAGTTCGAGCCCCATGTCAGACTCTGTGCTGACAGCTCAGAGCCTCAGAGCCTGCTTTGGATTCTGTGTCTTCCTCTCTCTATGTCCCTCCCTTGCTCATGCTCTCTCTCTCTTTCTTTCTCTACTTTCTCTAAAAAAAAATAAGCTTTAAAAAAAAAACAGGAGTGAAGGCTCCAGTCTCTCATCAGTAACTGTGTTGTTAGCTACAAGAATTGTGAAAAATACTCTTTTCAAATACGAGGAAATTGTCCAATCATTGTTTGCTGAGTTTTTTTTAAAATCATGAATGGATATTGGATTATGCTATATAATTTCTTTCTGCAATAAGTAATATAATCATATGATTCTTCTTTAGCCATTTGACATGGTGGATTACACTGATTGATTTTGAATGTTGAATCAGCCTCGCTTATCTGGAATAAATCTCATTTATTGTGCTGTAGAACTCTTTTTATCCACTGTTGGATTCCATTTAAGATATTTTGGTGCCCTTCACATCCATAACCAGGGATCACATATTTGGTGTAAAATAAATTATGTGCAGAAAGTTAGTGCCAAAAGGGAAGGTAGACACTGTTCCTTTCAGGAATGGTTAGAGGTGAACACAGCAAGGTACTGATGTAGCAGGATCCAGAAACATCTTTGTAACTTAGCCAATCCATCAGAATTTCTCTTGTGCTGAGAGGTGGGGTTAGGGGCATGGGGAAAATAGGGACTGGAAACAGTGACTGGCCTTCGTCTCTGGCCAAGATAACAGACCATCCTTGCACTGTATCCTGAGTTTTCCCTTAACCATTACTAGAATTCAAAGCAGGCCAGGGCACACCTACAGGACATGCAGATCATCCCATCAGAGCAATAAGACTTGACTTCTTTGAGTCTCTGTAAGAGGCCTATGAGGTAAGGATTAGGGAGATTCCATTTTTGTTTGGTTGTCAAACTTTAAGAGATCAGCATCAAAGATTTGTGCCTGAGTTTGTAGATCCTCAATTTGTCCAGATCTAGTGTTTTCAAGTTTTCCATGTTGTGAAGATTATTGGAATTCCCATCCATGTCCATATACCATCCTGCATTTGTATGATATTCTTAATACACATTTCTAGAAGTGTACTTCCACTTCACAATATACACATTTTAATTGCTCTTGATACACCTTATGAGACACGTTTCTAGGTCATAAAGGAAATTGGAAGCAAACTCAAATCTCTTACTGTCTTATCACTATTCCTTGGCTCTAACTGGAAAGTACTGTATTTCTCTAAGCATTATGGGTGGCTGCTGGGGCAGGTGGCAGAGAAGCATTACAGACCAAGTCAAAGAGACTAAGACGCTACTCACAAATACAGGCAGTGCAAACATTTTACATCGATGGTAGACCAGATCCCTGCCACTCCACTTGACAAACATTTCAGTGGAATAGAATCTGGGAAGGAATCCTACACATCAGGATGCCAAACCGAGGCTTGTGGAAGTTGTCTAAGAGGGTGAGGGGAGTACAATATGTGGGGATTGGGTGTATCCTTCACAAGAGAAGGCATTTGTCTGATGAAAACACTCAAGACCCAAAGGTAATAAAGCAAGTCACTACTACACCATGGATTATACTATAAATCTGCTTTATTGCATTAGAAGAGAGCAAGGAAGGAACACATGACAGGGATACAAACCCTGTTTATCATAGAACCGGCCACATGCTTTCACAACCACTGTGAGGGAGAGCCTCAATACTTGAGAGATGGGGAATTCGTGGGCCCGTGGAAGCAAGAAGGAGTTGCTGTGTCCTGGAGTAGGACCCAGGCAGTGACCTTCGGATGGTGAGCATTGGAATCTCAGGTGGAGCATGTAGAGGCAGTGATGAGAAATGAAGGCACTCAACAACTTTAGCTCAAGTCAGAGAGTAAGAGAAATCAGAAACGGGAGAGGAGAAGCAGCCTGAGAGAGGGCAATGCAGTTGTAGGTGGGACAATGTGGGACCAAGACCTGATGGCAGGACTTAGTGCTTGTAGCTCTTCCTGCTGGAGGATGAGGTGGTGGTGGTGTATTTGATGGTGGAGCTGCTGCCCCCAGACGAGCTGAAGCTACCCCCAATGCCTCTGCCGCTGCCGGAACTGAAGCCAGCTCCCAGGCCGTGGCCGCTGCCATAGGAGTAACCGCTGCCTCCGCCCAGGCCTGAGCCACTGCCCACACCGCTGGCACTGCCATAGCCGCCAGCGCTGCCATAGCCTCCAGAGACGGTGGACTGCACCACAGCTGTGAAGGGGAGGGGGACAAGGACACATGAGACACAGTGAGCTCATTCTGCCAGCCTGAGTCTACTCAGAAGAGCTAAGGGCAAGGGAGGGAGGCAAGCAAGATACTTACAGATGTTGACTTGTCCAACACCTTCCCCATTCAGCCTAGGAAGGGAGAAAACACAGGGACCATGAGACTTCAGACAGCTACCACTGGACCAGAGTGGGAAGCCTCAATGTGAGGATAACCCATGGGGAAACTGCCTTTTAAAGGATCTCTGAGAATCATGACTGTGGCCATAACTATTGTGTCTTCTACTTGTGCTCATGGCCAGACATCATGGACATGCATCCAAGATGTTTGAAGAGCTTGTGTGAGTGACCCACCTGCACTCCTCGCCCTCCAGCAGCTTCCTGTAGGTGGCAATCTCCACATCCAGGGCCAGCTTGACGTTCATCAGCTCCTGGTACTCCTTCAGCAGCCGGGCCATGTCCTGTTTAGCCTTCTGCAGGGCATCCTCCAGATCAGCCAGCTTGTTCTTGGCATCCTTGAGGGCCATCTCCCCACGCTGCTCAGCATCAGCAATGGCGGACTGCAGGTTGGCACACTAGAACAGGAAGACAGGCAGTAGGAACTTGTAATGTAGTCCTCCAGGACACTAGCTGCACTTCTTCTTTCTAGTGAGGAACACTTCCAGAGCCCAGATACCATAGAAAGGGACTTCTACCACTTTTTTTTTTTCAGTCTTTTTCTGTTGTGCACAACTTATCTAGTCTGAGAGCCACATGAAAACACTTGTGCCATTTTAAAACCACCCTACAAGAGGTGTGGTGGGAGACCCTATACTGGACCAAATACCAGCAGAGTTGGAAGAAATGGACCCACTCATTTGTTTTGAGTGTTGTCTCCAAAGCCAGACCAGAACCTTTTCTGATCATCTCATGTGCCCCACTAACTTATACAAAGTTACCTACATCCTCATTTAAAGTATGAGTTTGATTTCTAGCCGTTGAGATCTCGTCCTCCTCACTCTTAAGGGCTTCTAACATGCTTGGGCAACACAGATCTTCATCCTGGGTCATTGCTCAACTATCCTTTTCAATGGAAACTTGAGCAGATTTGGAACAATCTTGTGCCCCACATGGGCTCCCCTTTTCTTTCCCCACTTTTTCTCATATTCCAAAACCAATCATTCTCCTTAAGTAATCTCTTTCAAAAGCCCCTAGATGACCTTTTCACAGTCTGACTAATTGGGATTGTTCCTGTCATGTGATGGTGTCATCCTGTAGGGTTGGCACCCATCTGTCCTAACCTGTGGGGACTCACTGAGGGTGGCAGCCACATGCACCTCTCTCCCTGCTCTTCCCTCAATTCCCAGCATTTCCCAAATGGTGGCCGATGGCTGCCTGGTGGTTGAGCGAGGAAGTGCTGCTTTTGTTCTCCAGAGCCCCCCACCTTACCTGCTTCTTGACATGGTCGATCTCGGATCTCAGCCTCTGGATCATGCGGTTGATCTCAGCAATCTCCTGCTTGGTGTTGCGCAGATCATCCCCGTGTCTGCCTGCGGTGACCTGCAGCTCCTCGTACTGGATTCCAGAGGGAGAGAAGATGGTGCATATGGGCTTTCCCATGCTAACAGTGACCTGACTTCTCAATCTGGCATTTAACACACCTGGAACCACTGGCTTCTCCTCGAGGGATTTTAGGGAAAGTTGATGTGTCAAGGTCACTGGATACTGACACTGATAACAGACCCTCTTTTTATGGGACTGCTGACTGCCTAGTTCATTTGAGGACTAGCAATGTTGTGTATTATATTTCTGCATGAGCCAGCATCAGGGTGAAGACAAAAGCAAGGATCACTAAGTTCTTATCTTTATAGCTGTCCTCCTACACCTGGGTGCTTTTACTACTGAACTTGGACAGAAATTCTGTGAATCTCTTCTTTGTGAACTCAGAGTCTACATCCTATGAGAAAACACCAGGTTCTTGGCAGTACGTTTCCCCGAGGAAGGCTAAAGCCTAGCTGGTGTTTAGGGAGGTGACACAGGCGATCCTGGGCACCTGTCAATGCTTATACTCACTTTGCTCTGGTACCAGGATTCAGCCTCAGCCCGGCTCTTCTGAGCGATCTCCTCATATTGTGCTTTGACTTCAGCAATGATGCTGTCCAGATCCAGGTTACGGTTGTTGTCCATGGACAGGACCACGGAAGTATCTGAGATGTGTGTTTGCATCTGAGCCAGTTCCTGTACAACATAAGATCATCAGATCATCTTTTCCTGTGGCATTTATAGAGGTATACAACCCTACATCTTCCACCCTTGGCAGAGCCCCCATCACAGCAAATAAAAGAGGAGTGGAGATACTTACTGCATCATACAAAGCTCTGGTGAAGTTGATCTCATCAATGAGACCATCCACCTTGGCTTGCAAATCAACCTTATTCATGTAGGCAGCATCCACATCCTGGGGAAGAAACCAACAACTTGGAGTCAGATGAGCCTTCCTTCCTGGTCTGAACACCTCTTAGTCTCCCCATCTACTCCCATCTTGGATTTGTACAGGGACCAAGAGCCCTCTCTTTCAACAAAGGAACATGCACCCCTGATCTTCATTAGCTCACCTTCTTCAGAGTCACAAATTCATTCTCTGCTGCTGTGCGCTTGTTGATTTCATTTTCATATCTAGACTCAGAACAGGGTAAGACATAATTGAGCCAGTGGCAAAGATGATACAGAAAAAGTTTCCTGGGATCCCAACTTCCCATGAAAGAGATATACCCCAAATGAGCTTCCTGCCATTGAACCACAAAAATGATTTTTTGTGGTCCCTAAATTGTTTTTTCTCTCTATCCACATACATGTTCCTTTTTTTGGAGGGGGGTGTTTGAAGGCAACAATTCTGAATTTCATTTCCATGATCATGTTTTGCTATGGAATCAGACACACATCCTGAACTAGTCACCCAATTGTCTTGATGGGTGCACTTCAGGGAAAGGAAGCCCTTTCTGTCCTTGCACTCACTTGTTCTTGAAGTCTTCTACCATGTCTTGCATGCCCCTGAGCTCTGTGTCCAGGCGGCTCCTCTCCCCCAGAATGCTGTCCAGCTGTCTCCTGAGGTTGTTGATGTACTGCTCAAACAAGGGCTCCAGGTTCTGCCTCACTGTCTTGGTGCCCTGCTCCTGGAGCAGAGTCCACTTGGTGTCCAGGACCTTGTTCTGTTGTTCCAGGAACCGCACCTAGAAGAAGACAAGATTGTTACTTGCTAGAGAAAGCAAGGGAGAAAGAGATGTGACTTGTCAGGTGCCTAGGCACACCTGGGTGTTCGCCCAGGTCTTGGGCTATTATGGAGCATGTACAGAAGGTCAGGCTGACAGTGTTGTACCACTGAACCTATTTCCTTCTACCCCAGAAGTCCCAGTATGAAATTCTTCCATGGACTTATGATGTCTTCTCATCTACTAAGCTATTCAGCCTATCAATGACTTTCAACAGTTCTCTTCCCTATTAAATAGCACAACCACACATCTAGTTAAAAAAATATTTCGGGGGTGCCTGGGTGGCTCACTCAGTTAAACTTCAGACTCTTGATTTTGCCTCATGTCATCATCTCAGGTTTGTGGGATCTAGTCCCCTGTCAGGTGCTGCTCTCTATCTCTCTTCCCGTACCTTTCTCTTGTTCTCTCTTTTAGTCTCTTTTTCCTCTCAAAATCCATAAATAAACCTTTAAAAACATAGTATTTCCCTGATACAATGTCCAAAGTTTTAATTTTATTATACCTCAGTTAAAGATTGTTAAATGTGCAGAAACTAATCATATAATCCAATTCATTCAATGATTGGATTCCAGTAACTCTGCTTTAGTGCATGATTTCCCTATATAAAAAATTCCCTAAAGGTCATGCTCTTTTCTACACATTTAGTATATCTATGATACATAAATGTTTGAGTCTTTTTTTCTAAATCAGTCACAAATCGTGTTCTTTTCTATTCTTTCACCCTTTCCTCATGTCTGGAGCCCTATTGCAGATTTCCCCTGGAATTATTATTTAATCCCTTTCAATCTTCAGAAGGTAAAGCTAACAGATTCTATTCTCTCATTGCCTTCTATTTTGCTTCATTGCTCTCATAAATTAAGTATTCTTCCCTGGCTGGGTGAAGGACATTTTAGAGACCCAGTGATCTTAAGTGATTTCCATCACCTTCTGCCTGTTGTCAACATGAAGCCCATCTGGCATCCCAGGGAAGAGCTCCTCTGAGTCCTCTTCTCCCTCCCTCCTATAGCTCATCCTGGTAGGACATCCATTAGTTGTCTAGTCTGGGGAGCCTGGAATCCCAGTGGAGACAGGTCTTCCTGGCTCACCTTGTCGATGAAGGAGGCGAACTTGTTGTTGAGGGTCTTGATCTGCTCCCGCTCCTCAGTCCTCACCCGCTGGATGGTGGGGTCGATTTGCAGGTTGAGGGGAGCCAGGAGGCTCTGGTTGACAGTGACCTCTTGGATGCCTCCAGGGGGTCACACAGGGAAGCCGGGTCCACCAAAGCCACCTCCAAAGCCAGCTCCACCACCGAGCCCAAAGCCACCACCAGCTGCACCACCGAAACCAAATCCACTGGCGGCTCCACCTCCATAGCCAAAGCCACCTCCAACTCGGCCACCATATCCTCCACTGATGGCACAGCTGCCCCCTCCGATGGAGATCCTCTTGGAGCCGCCCAGGCCATAGAGGCTCCTGCTACCAAAGCCAGCTCCTCCGCACACTCCACCGAGGCCACCAGTGCCCCTGGAACGGGACACGGAGACACTGCTGAAGCCAGAGCGGCAGACCCCTGGGACTCTGGCTGAGCTGGCGCTGAAGCCACGGTGGCTGACGCTTTGGCTCCTCACGGTGGATTTGCTAGTCATGATTCCTGAAGAGGGGAAGGCTGAAGAAAGCGTGAGAGGCTGGAAGGTAGAGCTGAGAGGAGCAGATCTGTGAGATGAGCCTCCCGGCAGCAGTTTATATATGGTGAAAATGGGCTGGGCTCTGTCCTGGAAGGTGAGCTTGCAGATTGGGAAGGGTTGGGCTTTACAAACAGTGATGTCACATCTGGATTATTAGAAAGTTATGAAATAACGAAGATTGCATTTTTGGCTTCCTTTAGTCAGGGAAAATATCTCCTGTCTTCCAGCTTTGACTTGATCTCAATACAATGAGACTATTCTCAATTCACTGAGCCAGGAGTTAGTCACCGCCTCAAACAAAGGATCGCATGTTATGCTTCTGTATCAGAATGTGAAGTGCTCTCCTCTGCACCTGTGTTGTACCCAGCAGAGATAGGAGACTGAAATTATCTAACGCATATGCCTTCATAGTAACATTCTCATTCCTTTTCATTATTATAAAAGTTAAATATGACTTTTTTTTGCTTTTATGTAAAATTTCACCCACATAAAGGAATAACATAACTACATAATAGGTCTCTATATTCTTATCACCCAGCTTTATGAATGTAATTATCTCCTGACCATATGAGAGCTTCCATATTCCTGTCCTATTCCTTAACAACTGTAAATTATTTGAAAACAAATATCAGAGATCATATTGTCTCTTTTGTATATAATTTCATACTTATGTCTGGAAGGCTCAAAAATATAAACAAAATACCATTATCTTATCTTAAGAATTTATATATTTTCAAAATATCAACAAATTTCTATTCCATTTTCAAATATCAACAAGTGTCTATTCCATTTTTAAATATTCCTGTTGGTGTTGTTTAGTTTTTAAATTTTGGTTGTCCAAATAAGGATCCAAATAAGCTCTATCCGTGCTGTATGTGGGTGTAATGTCTTTTAAGTAAATTGTTTTTTAAATCTTTTAAGTCAATAAATCCTCCATTTTTTCCTTGCAATTTGTTAAAGACACTGGGTTATTTGTCAGGTGCAGTGTTTCATTCCTTTGATTTTTCTAATTGTATATTTATGGTGCTGCATTTAACATCTTACTGTGTCCTTTGTATATCTTGTAAAGCGATAGGTAGAACTAGAAACTTAATGGGCTATGTATTTAAACATTCCAGATGTAGATGTTGTAGACTGCCTATTTATATACTGAGTATTGTTACTTACACACTTGCTTAAATGTTTAAAAATTGCAGGGATATTGTATGTTCAAGGAACAAAATACATGTTCAAGGCTACTCCCCAGGCAGCCAATTCCTATATATGGAGGCTTCAGTGCTCTCAGTTCCTGTGTATCTTTGTAGGCACGTCATTTGGGTGTTTCTGTGTTTTTCCTGAGGTATGTGGTGTGTGTGTGTGTGTGTGTGTGTGTGTGTGTGTATGAATGAGGAGACAGATGGAAAGAGATATTGGGGGGGGTGTATATGTACAGAGGGTGCCCATATTGTTAAAAAGTACATATTTTATGCATATTTATCTTTATATAAAAACCAGCCTTATATTCTCTTTTCAGTTATGCCTGTGTTGTATTTATTTTGTGTTTTCTCCTTGTTTTCCTTTAAGCTCAGTGATGGCTGTTTCATATCTGTGTGGTCTTCTCCCCCTCTGTCTGCCTCCCCTTCCATGTCTATTACTGCCCATTCAGTAATGCCTTCACCTCGCTGTCTGTTTTAAGCATGGCCTTCATTTCTAGTGTGGCTTTGTCTTGTTTCTTTGCTTCTTTTCTGAGCTCATCAGTCCATTTTCTCCTTTATTGTCTCATTCCATTGCCCCATTTGTTCTCTTATTTTATCATGGTGTCGATTTCATTGAATTTTGGGATATACATTATTGGAATTTTTTTCTTTTGAGTAATTTTCACATGCCTTTTGTTCTTCCTGTTCTCTTTTTATTTAATGGAAGATAACTATTGTGGTCCTGGAATGGTTTCTTTCTCTCTTTTTTATTTTTTAAATGAGTATTTATTTTTGAGAGAGAGAGAGGAAAGGAAGGGAGGAGCAGAGACAGGGAGAGGGAGACACAGAATCTGAAGCAGGTTCCAGGCTTATAAGCTGTCAGCACAGAGCCCGACATGGGGCTGGAACCCATGAACTGTGAGATCGTGACCTGAGCTGAAGTCGGGCACTTAACCGACTGAGCCATCCAGGCGCCCTTGGAATGGTTCCTTTCTGACCAGTGCTCATCTCTGAATGAAGCAAGCCCCTTCTGGCCCTGCTATTTGTGGAGGTATTCTGGGAGGGGGGCCAGGCTATATCCAGGCTAATAGGATTTCTCATTATGACACAGGGCTGTGTGAATAATTCCTTTAAGCTTTAATTCTGACAAGCCAGCAAAGGTCAGTGCAGAGTGGCTAACAATTCTGTCTCCTTTTCCTTTGCTTCACCAACAAAATGCTGTCAATAGGCCCAGGTCAATTCCTTATTCAGCACAGCCTTCACAGCTTTGTGAAACTTCATGACAAATGAGGCCTGCCCCCAGCCCACACACTCAGTTCTGATTGTTGCAAACAAGGGATTCTTGGATGTGCATCTGATGAAGCATCCTTTACAGGGACTTAGCAGCAGTGCAGTGAGTCAACAGTGCCTGGCACTAAGAAAACCCGTGTTGGCTTTGTTTGGTGTTCCTTCGCGGTTCCTGTGTTGTTTGGTTCAGATTTCTTGGTTTGTTAAGTGTTCTTCACTGAGATCTGCAGCTGTGGGCATCTTCTCTCTGAGTTTCTTAGCAACTGTCTTACTTTTCTCTATGTCTGTGAGAATATTCTTCTATTTTTTTTTAAGGTTTTTATACTTTGAGAGAGTGCAATGGAGGAGGGGCAGAGAGAGAGGGGGAGAGAGGATCCTAAGTGGGCTCTGGGCTTCTGCAAGACCCATGTGGAATTCAAACCCACAAGCCATATCATAGCGTGAGCGGAAATCAGATGCTCAACTGACTGAGCCACCCAGGTGCTCCTACCTTTTTTTTTTTTTGGGGGGGGGGATTTAAAATGTTTTCATTTTGGTGGTTTAAGGTGGAATTTACATTTACGTTTCTTGTTCTTCTTGTTTTTAGGTATTTAAGAGGGAGGAAGTGCCTCCCATTTGTCTGTACAATTAAATTCAAGAGCCTCCCATTCACATATTTTATTTAAAATATCAAACAAGCTAAAATATCAAGCTAATAAATTAGAAATATTATTTTTTTCTTCTCTCACACTTAATGAAAACAATTTTATTCAGAGCAGATGTCCTTATCCTCAGGGCCTCTCTACCCTAGAGCCCCGGTGGGAGTCACCTGCAAGCTTTCTAGAAGATATCACATTTACTGTCAGTAGAAATGTAATCCTCAATTAAATGCTCTCCTTGGTGTGACAATTTACTTAATTCCTTAAACAAAATTTGTATCATTCAACATTTCAAGAGGATACAATTACAGAGACTAGCATATAAACCACCATGTACCAATCACCCAGATTAAACAATTATTAACATTTTCTCATGATTGTTTCATCTAATCCCCCTACTTTTCATATCTAAATCCTCTACTATTCTTGTTGAAGTGACTTAAAGGAAACCCAGACAGCAAGTCATTTCACTTGTAAATATTTCCTGGCGTATCCAAGCAATAATGACTTTTTAATCCAACTGAGTAATACTAATATAGCTTTTCTAAGCCATCATTTTTTAAAATGATATCTAATACCCACTTGTATTTGAATTTCTCTGATCATCTCTGAGATTTGTTTTTATCCTGGTTTGCTTGAAACAACATCCTAACTAGGTTCACGTATCACATTTAACACTATGTCTCTTAAGGTTCTTTTATTTGATAACAAAGTACTTCCTTTTTTGTGTCACTGTGTTTTAAAAAAACCTTATTGTTTCCATAGAATGTCTTCCTCTGGGCTTTGGCTCTTTATTTCCTGTCAGCATCATATAACTTCTTCTATCCCTGGTTTTTCTGTGTATTAGAGGCTGTATTAAGTTGATTAGACTTACCTCCATTGTCTTGGGCAAGAAGAGTTCTGGCTGTGCTCTGTACTCCTGATTGCATTATATCACAAGGAATGTAATACTAGTTATCTAATTCTTAGTGATGTTAAGACTGATCAGGGGACTTTTGTGGTTCAGCCCCATCCCTCCACTGAAAGGTATACAATAAAATTTCATCTAAGATTTTAATATTCATTGAGCACTTCCTAGACTCATTATTTCATTACGGGTTGCAAAATGGCACCTTTCCGATTTTATCATCATGCATCTGTATTTGTTAGTCAGGACTCATCTATAAAGAAGGAGTCTTCATGTTTACTCTTTAGGTACCCTAGTATTAAATTCATTCAGAAAAGTCAAACAAAGTTCTTGATCCTTCCCCTACCCCCCACCTTTTAAAAAATGTTTATTTATTTTTTAGAGAGAGAGAAAGAGAGAGAGAGAGAGAGAGAGAAAGCACAAGTGAGGGGAGAGGGGAAGAAAGAGAGGGAGATGCAGAATCTGAAGCAGGTTCGAGGCTCTGAGCTGTCATCACACAGCCTGATGCAAGGCTCTAACTCACCAACTGTGAGACCATGACCTGAGCAGAAGTCAGAAACTTAGCTGACTGAGCCACCCGGGGACCTCTACAGGATTTTTTAAAATTTCTTTTCTAAGATGAGGAACTTCTCATCTAATCCTTGTTTGGTGAGAGTTTTTTTTTTAATCATAAATGAATGTTAGATTATATTATATAATTTTTTCTGCATTAATTAATATAATCATATGGTTTTTCTTCTTCAGCCTTATGATATGGTGAATTACACTGATTGATTTTGAATGTTGAATCATCTTTGGTATCTGCAGTAATCTCATTCATTGTGAGCTCTTTTTGTACATCGTAGGATTCAATTTGCTGATATCTTGTTGAACACCTTCATATCCATGGTCATAAGAGAGTATAGAGTTTCTCTATCTGGTTTTGGTATTAGAGTAATGCTGTCCTCATAAAAT